GTTATTAGTATATGGGTTTTTTATATTTTGTTTTTGGGGTTTGTTGGTAAAAAAAATTAGGGAGGGACTGGGAAGGGAGTGACCATCTCACTTTGTCGTCCGCAGGGATATTGCAGTCCGGAATGTTCTGGTGGCGTCTCCCGAATGCGTCAAGCTGGGAGATTTTGGCCTCTCTAGATACATTGAAGATGACGAATATTACAAAGGTAAGGAAGGAACCCTGGAAAGAAGCTCCATTGCATGGTTTGTGCAGATCACACAGGATGAAAGCCCAGAGGGGGTGAATACCCAGTGAGGTGGTTGCCCGTCATATGTCTTAAACCACCCTGCCACCAGCCAGGGCATGTCTGCAAAAGTGGGGAGGGTACCCCATTGCAGAGCATTGCCCCACTTTCTGTTTCTTCTGGGAAGGGAGGGCAGGACAGTCCAGTGGCTCACTTGCCTGCTCAGTCAGTCATCCGGGTCCCTCCGGTTCTGGCCAGGCAAGTGGTCAAGGCAGAGGGAGAGAAGGGGACAGGGCCTTCCACTGGCTTATTCATCCAGCCATCTGGGTCTTTCTGGGTCTGACCAGGTGAGCAAATGAGGTGGAGGGAGAGAAGAGGGCAGGACTGTCTGCTGCTGTTGCCGCTACTACCATGCCCTACACCAGGTGATACCAGCCCTAGTGATGCCACGGCTTAAGGGTCTGGCTCAGCAAAGGGTAGCTTTCTGCATCAATTTGTTTGAGTCCAGGAAGGGTCCCCAAACCTAGACCTTTGGATCCTCGGGGGGTCAGGGGCAGCTTCCACATTGCAAAGTCAGTTAGTGGGTAGTGTAAGGAATGGGTGTTCCATCAGGAGTTGGACTTGGAAATGACCCCTCACAGTGGCATCTTCTTCTCACCTCCCAACGCAGCATCTGTGACTCGCCTGCCCATCAAGTGGATGGCTCCGGAGTCAATCAACTTCCGCCGCTTCACCTCGGCCAGCGATGTCTGGATGTTTGGTGAGTGGAAGGTTGGAGCCAAGCAAGGTTCCTTCCTATGTGTCTATGTGTATGTGCCTTCAAGTCACCCATCAACCTATGGCGACCCTGTGAATTTCACATGGTTTTCTTAGACAAAGAATCCTCAGAGTCCTCATGTCTGGCAAAGAATGGTTTAAGGTGCCCCATCTGCAGACTCTGGCTTTCTCTGGAAATATTACAAAGCCAACAGTTTCAACAAAGTTAGACATATCAAAATATTAGGAGATTACCAATGCCTAGATGTAGGGATGTATATCTCCACATACTCCATTGCCACACGCAAGAAGGAGTGATGACAAAAGTTTTATCCCTGTTGGGTGAGATCATGAAAGGTTTTGCACATTCTTCCAATGATTTTTCATCTGCTGGGATCATTATTGGTGAAAAAAAATATTTGGCCAAATAATCCTTGCCCAAAAAAAAAATTGTAAAGTTTTTTTGCAGAAAACATTATCTTTTACACCAAAGACATTTTTGGTACATCAATTGTCTTTTGCACAAAACTGAATAATGTTTTTAGTTGCCTGGAAAAACAAATGAATTTTTCACAGAAAAGTCCAAAGACACACACACACAATTTCTCAGAGATTAAGGATGGGAAAATTTGCAATTATTTTTCACATCTCTACCTGAAGGGTGGGAGGAATTGCCACAGTTTATTGAGCAACTGGGGATTTTGGTAACGTGAATCATGCAACTCCAGTGTCTGCAACTTGATTAAATCCTTATTCCCAAATTATCCCTTGCTCTCTCTTTTTCTTCTCGAATTTCCACCGCAAGCCGTTTGCATGTGGGAAATCCTTAGCTACGGCAAGCAGCCCTTTTTCTGGCTGGAGAACAAAGATGTGATCGGGGTGTTGGAGAAAGGGGACCGCCTGCCCAAACCAGATGCTTGCCCACCCCTTCTCTATGCCCTGATGACCCGCTGCTGGGATTATGACCCGAATGACCGGCCCAAATTCAAAGAACTGGTCTGTAGCCTAAGGTAAGTGAAAACAGCTCCTACTGCCTTGCTTTCTAGAATCAGCGATAGGGGAAGGAATTCTGCAACCTGAATAAATTATATCCAGGGATAGGTGTGTTGACCATATAGCAAAGAACAGTATCATCCAAAATCCATCAAACAGTGATGCCTTTATGGGGCCCAACCAAAATGCATATTATACATGTTGCAAGCTGTCCAGTGTGCTGAACCAAGTTGGAGGACACAGATTGAGACCTTGGATTGCTCATGTAAATGTTGTACTAGAACCCAGAGTGGATACACTGCCTCCCACTGACATAGAAATCATCAGCTGTCATTGTAACAGAGGCTGGATGGATGGAAATAGATATTTGGGAAGGGGGAAAGGGAGCTCAGGGGGCAGGGTTGAGGGGCCAAGGCAGAACTCCCTTTGATTTGAGCTTCTTTGGAGAGAAAAGTGCAGCATTATCCAAAATCGATGAAACAGAGATACCTTTATTGGCCAAACCAAATGCACATTATATATGTTGCAAGCTTTCAAAGCTCCTCTGGCTTCTTCATCAGGCAAAGGTGTTTAAAATGATACAGGAGGTGTATGACATCTCTAAGCTTTCTGTAATAACAATAATATACATATAGGGAAGTATATGGTAAATGTTTAACTGATTGGGATATTTAAGGAATAATGTAATAACGTAGAAGTTGAAAACCGTTTGTTTAATAACATAACAACATGTAAACAAGGATATGTCACAAATATTGATATTAACAATTGTAACCTTAGCGGACTATTTTATTTTTAAAGAGAAAATTTGCAAGAGTATGTTGAAAGGGAAAAGAACAGCTCTGTTATGGACCCGTATGGGCACGCACTCTGTAGTTGTCATTAATGTGATTATTGTGTTAATACTCTTGATTAGCTTTGTAAGATATTTTTTGTTATAATAAAAAATTTAAAAAAATGATACAGGAGAAAGAAAGAAAGAAAGAAAGAAAGAAAGAAAGAAAGAAAGAAAGAAAGGGACAATGTTAGTCTTAGGCCTGTATTTGGTCAAGACCTTGTGGTTATTGTCCTCAGTTTAGATGTTATGGAAGGGTCTTCATGCAGGTGGGTCCCTCTTTCTTCTGGCCATGTGGATACTGGGAGATTCAGCCCAGGAAATAAAATTAAATTTCATTAGGAAGACAAAAAAGCTTTGAGATACTACCACTGAGAAACTGGATCTCAAAGGCAGTAGCTTTTTGTCTTGTTAATGGAATTTAAAGTTTATTCCCTGGACTGAATTTCCCAGTATCCACATGGCCAGAAGAAGGAGGGACCCACCTGCATGAAGACCCTTCCATAACATCTGAACTGAGGACAACAACCACAGCATCTTGACCAAATGCTGGGCTATGACTAACCGCCAGTTTTCTTTCCTTCCTTCTTCCTCCTGTATCATTTTTAACACCTTTGTCTGATGAAGAAGCCGGTGGAACGTCAAAAGCTTGCAATACATATAATGTGCATTTTGGTTGGTCCATAAAGGTATCACTGTTTTGTGGATTTTTGGATGATACTGCACTGAATAAATTAAGGCACAGATTTGCAGGATTCTTCTGATTATTGTAGAGTTTATTCTGGTTTGATTGATCAATGCTTGAAATGGTTGCTTTTTTGGATTACAACTGCCAGAACCCTGCAGCCAACCAACCAGCATGGTCTGGACAAATTGTGGAGAAAATCTCACTTAGGACGTTATCACACGGGGCAAATCTGCTGGTTAATCCACACAAATCCCAAACAGAAACTGCATTTTCACATGACGTCGCACAGAAACTGGACAGAAAGTGGACGGAAACTGGTGTTA